TTTTTTTTTTGGGGGGGGGCATACATATGACTTGATGTGGCCCCGTGATGTTCTGATTGTCATCTCCGGGGAGGAGGGAGAGCGTGAACGCCGTCATTGTCAACCCTCTGTAGTACAGACAAGCGGAAATCTGTGCGACTCGCTGTATTGAGTGCAAAAGAATTGGCGTTCGAAGAAGATGGAATAGAGGAAGGAATATGTTTAACATCTCTTCATTGTTGTTGACCGTATCCCAAGGTTGCTAGACATCTATTAAAATGATCAGACAAGAGCCTATAGTCACACCCACGCACCCGAACGAACCGAAGGATTGAATATTCGTCGTTTTTTCCAATTCTTAACAGGGCTGTCATCTGTCAAACACGTTGGCAGTAGTGTGAATGCATGAGCGAGCCATTATGACAAGTGAGTGTGTATTATAGAACCAGGAGAAATGGGGTACTCTTGGTCAGTACGAACACAAGGACCATTTGCTTCCTTAATTCGTGCACTTTTGGAACACCAGTGCCCCGAGGCAGTTCAATGGGTTGTGCGAATTGACAGGGAAACCGAATGCGGTATATGTGTATTCTTTTCAATTGGGATTTATACGAGTAATCGTAATTGTGGTGTATTTTCGAATGACCCAAAAATTGACTCGCCTTCTGTCCGGGCTTCGGGGTAGCCTAAGAAAGTTACGCATACCGGCAGACATGGTTAGGCACACGTATGTGGATGTAGTCGATTTTATCACCAGCACGAACAACTAACAGCCTATATATAGACACATNTTGAAAAGGAGAAGACGCCGAGTGGCGATGTGGTGGGCGGCGGTACATGGAACTTCGGGGGCCAGACAAGATCAAAGCGTTCGCGCCGACATTCCTCCGGCGTCGCTTCTGGGTCGGTCAGCGGATAGGTAGGTAGGTGTATGTACGTCGGCAAGAGAGCCGGAAGTTCAAAACTGACCAAAGAAACACCGAAGAGTTGCTTCGTCCTGAGCGCACGACTGAGCGAGCGACTGACCGAGCGAGCGAGCGAGCGAATGCAGAAGCGCACGAGTGGGTGCAAAACAAAAGTGGGTAAAAAAAAGGTGAAAAAAGTGAAATCCAATCAAGGAGGAATCGATAACACACAGTTAGTTCGTTGTTAGTCTGCCTGTGTGTATGGCACGGGCATGCTTGCACCAGTTCACTACTGCTCGCCCACCCCTCACCCCCACTCCCCTGATTTGGTACACACACCAAGACAAGACCAGAGCCGATGCCCAAAATCTTCGAACTGGGAACGGATAAATTCACCATGACAGAGACACGCTAACAGATACGCATACGCACACATACAGATAGTGTATATGCCTCAGACCGGGGACCGCATCAGCCAAGTTCAACTGCTTGTCACGATAAAAGACCGAACATGTGATGCGAGGCTATCTAATTTGAATCGGTAAATTGGTGAACCAACAGAGCAGCACTCCACGTCAGAGAACCCGGCGGAAGGCGGGCAATAGGATCTGCGAAGTGGCTGACCGCGGAGATGGCAGCATAGATAAGTTGAAAAGAGGAGATAGGCACGACAGCCCACGGCGCGGTTGAAAATGGTTATTTTTACAATAATGCCAAACTGATATAGAACTACCATTCACAGTATTAGAACGCGTATCGTTTAAAACCCACTCTTCCATAATTTTTTGGTGGAAGATGTTATAGAAGACTGCACACCCTGTGTACAAATTCAAGGGCATTCGGTGGGCCAGATTGCAAACAACAAATTTCATTCTGTTTCAATCAAATAACTTGGCTGTCGTCTTCCAACTCCGGAAACGACGGACAATGAAGAGAATGTTACAGTAATACTTACACCGCTAAGATTGCTCGAATCTGTTCAAATAAGTCAGGCGTTCAAACATGTTTGTCCTCTGTGGCGCGAAAACTTTTATTCTTCATTTATTCTTCTTCTTCCATGAGAATTAGATAGGATGAAAATGGTCTTGGATTCACTTAGTCAGTTCAGCTTCGTATCCCTAATATTGTCACGACAAAGAATACATAAAAATTGGCCTACAATCGTTTTTTATTACACTTTGAAAGGGTCCAATCATCAATCGATTGGTACCAAATGTCAACTACCCCATTACATTACATTACATGAAAAAAATACTCCGTTATCACGAAAACGACACCAACAACAACAACAAGAACAACAACAACGACAACCTGTTTATTGCATAAGACCTTCATTCGTAATCGACCAAAAAGGTCAATCACGTGATGCGAATAATGAAAACAAGGTCGGTCACACAAACCACAAACGAGTATTATGATTGAGTTTTTTTGTTTCGGGGAATATGAATGAGTCTGGTTTGGTGGGGCATGTTTGGTCTGCAATAGCTGGCCAGTCATAGTAGTTGTAATGATCTGTACATATTGCAGAATAAAACGAGAAAATATATCGAAACGAGTTGCATAATTGCATCACAAGAGCACAAAGACCCGATGTATCCGTTTTGAAAAGAGCAAGGCCTGCATTCGTGCCCATATGTATGTATGTATGTATGTATGTATGTATGTATGTATGTATGTATGTATGTATGTATGTGTATGTATGTATGTATGTATGTATGTATGTATGTATGTATGTATGTATGTATGTATGTCAGATGTATGTATGTATGTATGTATGTATGTATGTATGTATGTATGTATGTATGTATGTATATTGCCCACACATGCTTGTCTGTGTGTGTGTATTCATGTGTAGAACGATGATTAAGTGAGTGTTTATGCTCGTGTTTTTGTAAGTTCTTTGGAACAAGAACAATCAGTTATTGGCAACGTGATAAAGATATGATGGGAACAGTTCAAGGTCGAATACTCCGAGTACGCCGTAAAGAATGATTATTTGGTATGATTCTGACTGACTACAAGCCATTTGAGATCTGTGCAATAAGGATGGGGTAAAACTCGTTGAATGAAGTGAGGAATGCACGCTCTATTTAGTAAGTGCGTGTGTGTTGTGTGTCTGTAGGTGTTGGTCTGATTTTTCAAGTATGTTACAACTGATAAAAGTGTTCCGTATCTTTTCTGCAAACCGGTTGGCTGGCTAAATGATCCGACAGTGTATTTATTGATCAGTCCAATGCTTCGTGACTGCTCTGCCCGCTGCATACGCTACTGTTACTCGTACTGCCTGTATTGGTTGCACACAACCCAAAACGGTCCCCACCACTCATACTTCCCGTATGCGTCACATTTGGTTCCAGGGATTTGGTCAAATTAGGACAGTGTGTGGTCATTTTCCCTGTGGTTGGGCTAAATCCGATCGAATTGTCCGATTCAGCGAGTCTGTGACCCAGAAATCGCATCGGACCCATTGCCAATGATGATTCGAGTGGATGTAATTGTCTGGACACCGCGTCCGATGGATCCGTACCACCAGTACCCATTCTGGAATGATAGTTGTTTAGTGGATTTCCGGCAGGCTGAGGGCTTGTACCGCTTAGCATTCCTGAATTGTAAACTGGTGATCCGTAAGAGATTGTATGACTACTCAATGCGAGTGTGTTTGGCTGAGCGACCGAGCTGGACGTGATCAGGGGATTAGGGACGTTGAAAGACATTGTTGATCCAACAATCGGTGTGGTAGACCATTGTGATATTGAAGATGCTATATGTGAACCTGGTGGTAGTGGCGGTGGTGGTGGTGGTGGTGGCTGTGTTCCTGGGAGTAGTAATGAATGATTCGTTTGTTCAGCACCTGTACCAAGAGTTGGATAGGAAGGGAATTCATTGGATAGTCGACCTAGTCCCGGTTCGAGCATATTTCGATAGTCCGGTGTCATGAGAAGATGATTTTGTCCTAAGGGTAAATGGGTACGTAATGCGTTGGGGGAATGTGAGTGACTGTGACTGTTCACGGCGGTCGGACACAAATGTGATCGAGACGTGATGGGGGAACGTGGTTCAATTAGACGTTGCTTCATTCCCGGTAAATGATGCTCTTTTTTCCATTTCATACGTCTGTTTTGAAACCAAATTTTGATCTGTCTCTCTGACAGCGTTAATGTGTGCGCGATCTCCAAACGACGTTTTCTAGTCAAATATTTATTGAAGTGAAATTCTTTTTCCAATTCCAATATCTGCTGTCGGGTGTAGGCAGTTCGGGTGCGTTTCGAATCGGTCGTGGGATTCAAATAGGTGAATTCCTCACTGTCTGAAGTCTGATCACCTCCCAGATCAGACTGTTTCGAATCGTTCCCGCCCACATCCGCACTGTTTTCATCCCCGGTCCAGCTAGACGAATCATCCGCATCAAATTTGTCCCCGCAAAGTTTTTGTGACCCCGATTCGGGGACTAGGCCAGCCGATTCCACACTCATGTCATGTCCGGGACGTTTTGATGCATTCAATTTCTCGGACTCCGAGCCTAATGTTGACTTTTGTTGCGATGCTTGCTGCTGCTGTTGCTGCTGCGGCTGCGACTGCTGTTGTTGTTGCTGTTGTTGTTGTGTGGTCTGTTGCTGCTGTTGCTTCAAATGTTGCTTTGCATTTCCTTTAAGTGTGTTCTGATTCTGTTGATGTTTTGATGCTGTGTAAACGAAAGAAAACAAAGGTTATTTTCGGGTGGCGAAAAGTGAAAAATGCGTAACTTAAATAACGAATGGATTATTCATTAACATAGCGAAAAGTTAAAATGAATTTCCCAGCACGAAAATCCACAATAATTACCTTGCCTAGTTATTAGAGAGATCTGATAAACGACATTCTATGCAATCTCATAACCTCATATACTCCAATAAAGTGAGCAAACAAAATTATTAACAATGATCTGGATGGTATAGAATGTAAATAGCCCTATTCTGGTTATATATGAGGTTTTAGCATAAACTGATCTTCATTGAAATACACTGGAAATAGGGTGCAACACCAGAAACCAGAAACATAACTTGATTGCGGGATTTCAGTCTCAGTTTAACTAAAATCTGAAGACAGTAGACGCAGTTAAACAACGAACGCTATCAGGACTTGGCCCTCTCTCTCTTTCTATCCCTCATCTACTTAAAAAGTGATTATATTGTTCATTGCGTTATGGCTTTTAAAATCGAGCAAAGCAAGTCAAATGCTTTTCAAGTTTGGTCTACCATTTGCTTTACTGTTCCAATGGTTAACCAGTTAACGCTTTTTCTAGCATCAATTTCTTGTCCATACCAGATGACGTTTTCATCAACGGCAGTAAAATGAGAATTTGCAATGCTAAAGGAACTCAATAGATTTCCGTGTAATTGTAATCATTACTGAACACCATGAGGTTTTTAGCATCCAAGATAACGTTTGCTTTTGTGCTCAGTAAAATAAACATTTCGATTGATCAAAATTGAATAATCGCAAACATTGATTTCCCGTACTCATGAAGTAGCCCGAAAATGTTCAACGCTTCTGGGCATCAACGAGATCAGAGTTTCCGTGCGTTGTGGGAAATCCTTTCGTATTGAATCAATTCCATGGAAAAACTTAATTTTAAATAACAACTCAAGAAGTAGTTGAACCGATGAAAAGAAATCTTCTGTTGCATAAACTGAGCATAACCTGAGTATAAACTCAAATTCGACTAATAGTCTCAAGGAGTTTAGTACCCATTATGTTTAATCTATGAAATTCCATGAAGAGGCTTGATATGTGTGAAAATATTTGCGCGGCACCGGAAAATTAGTTGTTGATTTTTGTCCTCGCTAAGTTCGATCAGCAATGCGTACTGCATTTTTGTCCTTGTCGGACTGGAATCATGAAATATCGGATTGGTAACCGACACCCCTAACCTCTCGCCACATAGTCGACGGATAATGAGTTAAGAGTGCCTGACTGCATAAATTAAATATTAATTTCATACGAACTCGCAGACACGGATTTTTTTTATCGTTGTTGTTGTTATTCATGTATCCGTTTCTCACGCTGGGAGTTCATTACATTTTTGTTGGCATCGAAGAGAATGATTTACTTTAAAAAGTATTTCCTTCGAGAAGTAGTTTATCTTAATTTCTTTACGTTTCTACTGATCAGAATGCATCTGGTTCACACTGTATTTTATTTGTGAACACGCCAATCTACAAGATTCTTTTTATCGAACTAAGTAAGGTGGACGGAAAATAGTTGAATTGAAGAAGTGTCAGATGACACCCCGCACAGAATAAGCACAACTGAATTATCCCTGACAAGATTCTGAACACGTCCGAGATTGACACGACTGATTAGTACCATCAGTATTCATTGAAGACAATCATGGAATAAGATTTGAATTTTCCTGTTCCTCTTTTCCCGATTTAGTTTACAACATCTCTTCAACCCAGAAGTTATGTAATCGAATCTCACGGTAAATGCGACTACCGTAGCTTGCTTTGCACACCACATCGTTTCTAAGGGGCATTTTTTACAAGGGTCAGTGAGACCCCCCTCAAAGTTTACAGTGTAAATAGATGTATTGAATAAGAGAGCTGAATTATCATTGCTACTACGCATTGTTACCATACTCGTCAAATGAAAATCAATAAATCGCGGAGTAATAAAATTGACTCAACGAAAAGTTCTTGTTTCAAACAAGACACGGCAAAATTCCATTTCGCCTGTTCCCGGAGCTTCGCAATTTGTTTGCAAACATATGATCATCAGCTGAGGTGACACGATCAGTGCTTATCAATCGATACTCGAAAAAATATGTTGAATTTCATCAACAAAAGAAAGAGCTTGTACTGTTTTTGCACAGACATGAATCAAACTGGTTCGACAGGCAGAGATGTAGGAGGTGTCAGTGACAGCATTGTTTTGTTACCCGAAGTTTTATATAAGTTAAGTTTAAATTACATTCTTATCTTGACACACAACTATTTGACGTTGGGGACCGGAAAGTGTTGTCAAAAAGAGCCATCTCCGCTGTCATTTTAAACGTCTACGACAGAACCCGACGGGGCAGAAAGATCTGTGTCCTTCTAATTCATTACCCATGACTGGACACAACCAGACTCAGTGATAAAAATCCCTATCCACCGAATGGGATTGGTTGCAGTTCAATCAGCCAAACCGCTTTCTTCTTCTATTTTTACCGTCCCAGCTATCCGCCTCTGACCGACGTGATGATTCGCACGGATCAATTCGGATACGGATACTTGAACTGTCAGGTGTTGTTGGGGTTACACGACGTATCCATCAGCAGGCACACGATGGTTGATTCCGAGTGAAGTTCGAATCG